GGATCCAGGCATGTCACCAAGCTTGGCAGCAAGACCCTTTGCCTGTTAGTCCATCTCATGAGACCTGCATTCATTTATTGCATTCATTTTAAAAACCAGTTTTAAACTGTATTAATTACTTGAAGCAATAATAAAATGATGCAAATTGGTATGATTTAAAGTGCTACAGAGTTCTTTTCTGTTAGAGTACACAACACAGTGACAAGGATGCTCGAACACACACACACACACACACACACACACACACCATGTTCTGTGTGTGTGTGTTTGTCCACCCTGTGAGAATCAAAGTAAGCATTTTAATGTGGAAGAATTGTCACTTCGTCAAGGTAAAGGTTCTGATTGGAAAGAAGCTGCAACACACCTGATACTAAATTGTTGTTGGGAAGCCCATGTCCCTCCATCCTTTATCCTCTTGAAAAGTAACAGGACCCGACATTGCAGCCTCCAGCAGGTGACAGGTCTTGAGACCCTACCTTTACAGATGACATTAGCAGCTTAGGAAAACATAATGAGACAAGCGTAGCCTCATAGATTCATATTCGTGGATTAACTGACGAGAAAATAGCAAGAGATGGCCATTTATTCCTTTGATGAACCGACCTGGGAATAGTAGAGATGGGTCAGTAACTTATATCACCCTGTTTCTTATAGTTTTTCAGCAAATATTCAGAAAGTAGTCAGAAAATCTTCTTAAAGACATGCTTCTATTTTTTATCTACATAGAGAAAGGGGGAGGCAGATTGTATGGCCATGAATTAAAAATGACTCGACAGGATGTATTCCTGGTGCACAAAAGGACCTTGCGGATACATCCCCCATGGAGGGACACTCCCTTAACCTGGAGACGAGAGAAGTCCTAGTCCCTTCTTCAAATGACTTGTCAGATTTATATGACCCCACCTGGATAGCATAGCCCTACATGTGGAGTGGGGAAGGGCTGGGAGGGGAGGGTGGTCAAGGTGCATGTGAGGGGAGAGAGAGGGTACGAGGGAGGGAGGGAGAGGGAACTGGGATAGACATGTAAAATAAATAAATAAATAAATAAATAAATAAATAAATAAATAAATAAAATTTTTACAAAAAGACAGAGAGAAAGAAAGATGACTCGTCAGGAAAGGAAAACCTCCAGACAACAGTTTAACTGCAGCATCAACGATGCCAGTGTGCAGGTGTATTTGTTAGACCCCAGCCAGGGCCATAGAAGTGACAATATTAGGGGTTTGTAGTTCCTGCCAGGGTACAAAGAAGGAGAGAGAATATTCTGCAGATGGATATTTAATACAATAACTTGAGTGCTTGTTTGATTGCTGGAATCCCAGAAGTGGGCTCCAGTCAGCCTCTGGAAGGCTTTTCCTGGGGAACTGGAGAGCTGAATCTCTAGGGAGCTCCAAACTCTGTGAGACCCCAGAACCATCAAGTTGCCAGAACACATATTAACCTCTGAAGTTAGAGAATCTTCAGCCTGGGGCAGGTTGGAGGTGTTGCTGTCACTGCTCATATCAGGGATAAGGGACTGAATCCTGGAGATTCCTGCTGCCTCCTGCCAGCCTGGAATGCTGACACCCATCTCTACATCAAACAAAACAAAACTAAACAAACAAACAAAAAACTACATGTCTTCTTTCACTCAGCTTGCTAGCCAATGGCAGAAGATGGCAACTACCCTGTCTCTGCCTGACAAGGCTTTCCTGGGCCTCTGCAGGACCTGTTAGAATCCTGAGTGCTAGCTACAAATGTGTCATTATTGGACATTTAACTTTAAGTTTCTTTCACACAAGGATGTTATACAAAAGGATCAAATAATATCCAATGAGTTGACCCACAGTATCCCACACAACTATGGATAAGCAAGATTGTTACTATATTGGATAAAAAAGAGTGGAAGGGGACACCAACTGAACTTGACATTGGTTAAAAGAGACACCCTGTGAGGGTTTAAGAAAACATTAGGTGAAAATTGTTTCATTAAAAGCACAAACCAGTTTATTATGTCCAAAGTCAGAGAACTATATGGTGATAATGTTTCTAGATTGTTATAAGACTTCTCCTAGTCTTTTATGTCATGAGATGAACTTCAGAATTACAGTCAAGGTGGCATGGTAGTTAATTTATAATTAATGGAAAGACTAGGCGTTTGTAATTAGTATACTGATACCTAATTATCATACATGAAATAAAAAAAATTCATATTTTATCCTGTGTTGCATAACAAACCCAAAAAGGACACTGACTTAAGAATAGTACAAGGTGTCGTTTGCTGGGTGCTCACAATAGCCAGAACCCTACAGCTACACCCCTTCACTCTATAAAACAAGCTAGTCATACAGCTTTACCTCTGATAGGAGTGTGAAGAAACTGACAGTAGGGAGTGTGCACTGTTTTCTTGTGGGCATACAATGGTGAGCGGCAGGGCTGAGACTCTTAGCAAAAATTGCATCAAGAAAGAGCTGGCAGAGGCAGGAAGAGTGCAGCGTGGTATCAGGAGAAACTGTCCAGTGATTTTCCTGCTAAGAAGCCAGGGTTGGGGGCATGGCATTTCATCAATTATTCCCTTAGACCTCAGGGCCTTGGCCCAATGTCGGCAGGACCAGGTCAGTATCTCAGGGCTTTACTCCTGTTGGCTAGGCCTCACTAATTTCTCCTCTGTAAGAAACAGATATTGGTCTATTGAAAAAATGAGATTTACCACCTAAACTGGCCAAATATGGACAACATGTTCTCAGGTGGCATCGGCAGGAGAGCCCGCTAAACATCGTTGACTACAGCCTTGACTACAAAGAGCAGGATCAGCTCAGAATAGCCAATGTGCTGGCTGGTCCTGGGACCTGACTGCCGCTGCCTCCTGTGTGTTTGGGTGACTGCATCTCTAGACTGACCTCATAGGTCACCAGACTTTATCAGAAGTGCCATCATTTGTTACTCTGCCTCCGAGCTACTGTATTTATTTTCATCTATTTCCTTTAGAGATTAAAAAATATCAGCTTATATTTGGCTTAAGATTTTTAGACTTTCTTTGAAGTTAGTAAGCAGTTCCCATCACTACAACCACTTGCCTTGAGAAGTATATTTGAATCGCATACTTTCAAGTCCATCATTTCCCTTTGCAGTACTTTTTAAGATGTCAGCCCACCTGACACTTTCCTTCACTCTAGTTGGTAGGATAAAAGTAACAAATGCTACAGTAGGGTACAGATGCTAACACATGTAACATGATGGTTTAAAAAGTATCTTTAAAATTACTACATTTATTAACTTTGTGTGTGGTGAGGCAAGCATGTAGAAGTCAGAGGATAACTTGCTTTGAGTTGGATTTCTCTTTCCACTGTGTGGGTCCCAGTGTCAACAGCTGCTGCTGTTCCTTCTTCTCCTCCTCCTCCTCTTCTTCTTCCTTTTCTGTTTTAAAGTAACATAGGTGCAAAGTGAGTCCATAGATGCCATCATCAGAGAGACCAGTTCAGACAGCTTTGTTAACACTGTGATAGGATTGTTGGGTGAGCATGTGCATGTGTGAAATTGTGGGTAACCCTACCCTAGATTTCATGGACGCTCCAGTGCAGCCTTGCTTTATTTAGTTCAGGACCACATGCTCTGAGAATATTGACAGACAGGCATGTGTTCAGAGGAAACATCACAGGTGAGGCTGGGACTCGAAGCTCCATTCTGACAAATGGCCTAAAGGCACTGGTGACATTTATAAAGAACAGATTTGGGAGAGTAATGAAAGCTGACTGACTTTCTGAGTATTTACTTGGTCCTTTGAAGGGGTTTGGACTCAATGGTTTATCATAACAAAGGGGAATACTTTATGTGAGTTGTCCTTGAAAACAAGGCCAAAAGGAGTCATTGGTAACCATGGAGAGATGACTGTCTTTGATAGAAACATGGCATGTCTATTCTCAAAGTTGCCCACTAACAAAATGAGCTGGCCAGCTCTTAGTGAGCTCTGATTTTGAAGGAATGTAGGCAGAGGACAAAAACAAGCTTTTGATGGAGATATTGTTGAAAAAAGTAAAGATTAGGTGGAGGCATGTACTTGGTAAAATAAAAAGCTTCATCCAAGTTACCCTGTGAGCCTCTATTCCCTTACAGTATACCTTATATCAATAGCGACCCACTCTTCTTTGTCTTTTGGTCCAATAACTCAAACCCTAAATGATCAACAAAACTATGCATTTATTAGATCAGTTTTAGAGATTCTGGTTTGCTTATTCATCCCACAAACTGAAACAAAACCAGGAAACCCCAAGGTTTCTGGTATGCAACATCAACATTTTATGGGTCTATCATGAGATATAGAAGCAAGAAGACCTTCTCACTTTCTCTTGGCTTCTAGAAGCATGCTTTGACTATGTGAGGGTCAGTCCTGTTATTTTAGGTTGCCTTTTAAAGGCATGATAATTTATTGTTGTTGGCTAATTGAAGGCTTCTTGTGTTAGTAGCATGTACTCTTCTCTCGGTACTGAGCAGCAGTTTTCTGTTACAAGAGCATCTTCTAGTGATGCATCTTACCTTGAATGCACACTGACCATTGATCCACCTATGCTTTCATGAATTTACTATCAGACTCTAAAAACCAGATCTTGTCACTGTGGGAAGAGCAGATGTATACTTAACTAATCAAAGAACCTATAATCTATCACAGATAGAGACTACCTTCATATTATATTGACAGATGAGAAATTCAAGCTCCAATAGATGGAACGACCATCATCATGTGTCATGTGCCCCATAGGAAATTTGAGTAGTTGGCTTTTGTCTCCTGATTCCCTAACCCCCTGATGCAGTCTGAAGCTGCACTCTGGCAATGCCCCACTCCCTGTCCTTCCTCTTCCCAACTCTGTCCTCCCACCTTCTCTCCCATCTTCTTGCAGTCACTCATACCTTTCCTTATGACTTTATTGACACGTAAACTCAAAGCACCTATGTGGGATTCCAGAGCGCTGTCTTCCTTGTCCATGCTGTGTGCTGACATTTGGACTGCTTTTCAATCTTGACAGTGCTGCATACGATGCTGTCCTTGACAGAAATGTGGCCATTAAGAAGCTCAGCCGACCTTTCCAGAACCAAACTCATGCCAAGAGGGCTTACCGGGAGCTGGTCCTCATGAAGTGTGTGAACCATAAAAATGTGAGTTTCCCTGTTATTTTTGAACCTCTGGCTGTGGGAGGTTGTGAGATGAGAGGAAGAAAACAAGGGCTGCTGTAGGAGGAAGGCTTGCTTTGCCATTTCTGTCTCTTAAGGTTGTTTATTTGGCCCATATGCTGCATTTGGTTTCATTGTCCTCATGGTAGCTTCCTGCTTAAAAAATCATCCAAAAGCCATATGGCATGGAGGAGATGAATGTGACTGATGTATCCCTATTATGAAATTAACCTTATTTGGTTGTTATGCTCAAAACTAACCCAGGAGCCTCATGCTTTTTAAACCAAATTGAATCTTCTAAACAAACAAAACTTGCAGAGAAAACTTATAGGACAAAACTTCTTTATACTTTAAGTTCATAATAAATTTGGGATTTTTTTTTGTTGCTGTATTGTCTCCTGTGTGCTTTAGTTAGGGCAGAAGCTTCAGCAGTTGAGGGTCCCTGCTGTGTGAATATCTTTGTTTGGGAAGGGGAAGCAGCAGGTGCACACGTGGAAAGCCTTTGAGAGCAGGGCCACCCTGAGCCTTTCTTTGCTCAGGGAATCCACGTGCACTTGTCCACTGCCTCAGCAGCCATACTTGCTCAGTCTCAGATGACAACCTTCATCCTTGTGCCCTGTCTCTTCTTAGTAAGGAGAAATCAAAGAACATTGTTTAACTTTATGGTGACGAGTCTTAACACTTGTAACAAGCTTATTAGAAGCATTTTCTTAGGCATAAATTATGTATTAAAATTATATATTTTATGAATAAAACTATAAATAACAGCTATTTCATATTTGTGCTAGGTCCAGAAGTGTAAATATTCACAGAATATACAAAATTATCAGTACATTCTATAAGTGAGATCATATGGCAAATGAGCTACTACCAGAGCAGTAAGCAGCAAATGTATGTTTGGCTGAAAGATATTGTGATACAATGTTAGTGACTCTCTTCTTTTTCATCGCTCTGCTCCCATGACTGGCTCTCCCGCCTCCTTCCTCTGTCTTTATCCCCTCTTCTCATATGTCCCTCCAATGACCTTTAAATCAGACTATTTGTATACTGTTGAGTAGTTTGGGGACAATGACATTTGAGTTCACTCTTTTGGATTATTGCTTTTAATGTGCTGGGCAGATTTCTAGAGAGTTAGGACTGTCCATGACAGCAAAGGAGGCAAACCAGAGCAAGTCCATCCCACGGGAAGTTGGGCTTTCCATGTGAGGGAAGGCAACCGATGAAAGAGGTAGAAGCATTTTGGAAAGCTGGTCATTGTGGGATGTGACAGGATAGGCAGAGCAAGAAAGGCTCATGACTCATCACTGATATGGCCATCCATGCAAAGAGCACGAGGCATCAGAAAGGCATCTTGTGGTTATTGGGAAAGGACCCTTAAGAAGTCAGTGTACAAAAGCAATGTGGTCCCTTGTTATGTGACACACTGGCCACATGACCAGGGTGGCTAATTCCTATATTAGTAAGGGAGAGTAAAGAAAGCTCTGAGCAGAGAAAAAAAAATGGATGGATATAAGCAATGAAGTATGGTGCAGAAAGCTTTCCATATATAAACTGTATCTGTTTAATCCTTCCAGACCCTGTAGAGTAGCATCTTATGGAGAAATTCCCAATTGCTTGACCAACTTGATAAAAATGTACTTCATAGTGTGGTTTGGATATATTTCAACCGTCTTTTCCAAAGACAGTTGGTGTCCAGTGCTGTGATGTGAGAGGTGGCTAATCCTTTCAGAAGAGGGACATTCAGGTTGCTTAGGATATTGGGAGACAAAAGTTTAGAAGACACTAGGTAGCTCTCATCTTACCTCTAAGACTTCATGAGAACAAATGTAAATGTGAACCCAGTCACTGTCCAGCTTCCTGCTTTGATATATGATCTTCTTTCTCTCCCTCACCAGCTACCTCCAGAGCCAAGCTAATGCTGGCACCATGCCCTTGAACTCACTCTATAGTGACCAAACAACTTCACCATGAAGTTAGTCCACCTTCAGCACTGTCTTCTAGTAATGGAAAACAGTTGCCTACTTGCCCTGATGTTGACTGAAGTAAATGGAATTCACAGTTAACTCTTCCTTAAGGAAAACAAAGAGTTTCAAATTGATATGTTATTTTATAGCAAACATCAAAGTTGCTATCCTCTTTTTATGTATGTGTCTGGGCATATATGCATATAAGCTTATAGAAATATTTTTACAAAAAAAGAAGCTTCCCTACGGCAAGTTCTATAGTTCTTCATTAATACTCAAAACAAAGGGAAAGGCTATTTGAATATGAATATGGAGTCCTGTGAAAAGTGAAGAAACTCAATGAAGTGGCTCCATTAAACCTTTGACAATAGGAAATCCATTTAGAGGATGAAAATTCAATTCCAGGAAGTGATGGTTATTGCCTTTGTAGGGTTGTGACAAATATTGACTCATGGCTGTGCCTCCCGAGACTTTGGAATAAGACAACTGAATCAGATTCCCACCGGAAAATGCTTCAAGGAAGCAGAAGTGTCTATGTGACCTCATCCTGAAATTGAGCTGTTTGTGGGGCATTTGTCTAGTGAGTTCAATACTGTAACAGTAACAAATGAGCTTCTAGCTGGGACTTTAGGGAGCTGGAGATGTGGTTAAGAACATGGGATGTTCTTCCAAAGGAGCTGGGTTAAATTTCCAGCTTCCTTGTGGTCACTCATGACGATCCATAACTCTGGTTCCAAGGAATCTGAAGTTTTTGACTTCTGAAGGCACCAGACACCCCACAGTGCACAGAAATACACTCAAGCAAAGCCACTCATATGCATAAAATAAAACCAAACTTTTAAATGGATTGTTAGGAAGAATTGAAATTTATGAGGTAAGAACTGAGGTGAAATACAAAAGAAAAATCCAGGAAAGTTATGAAATGAACATATAGAAAAATGGGGGAAAAGAATGTAGAAGAAGAAATTGACCACGAGAAACTGGCTTTGAAAGCACTGTGTAATGCTGCTTTGTAGACTAATTCAAATACCACCTGATAATGGAAATTGGCATTATTCAATCCTAAAATGGTGCGGGCATGCAAGTGTGTGCAACTGTGTGCAATTATGTTCCCTGTGAATAGTCCAATTTGTCTTAAAAAAAAAAACTGATGAGTTATTACGTTATGAGATTTGTATGAGATGAGAGAAGTAAATGAAGATCCAATGACAAATACTCTACATTTGTTCCATTTGAGCTGTTATCAAGTGATCAGAATTGTAGGCATCTTGAAAGTTTAACACAAACACTGGATGCTCTGTGACTTTTTTTCTTAATAGTTATTCAAACAACAAAAATGAAAAATCCCACAGAAATGACATTTTTCAGTTATTTAGAATTGTATTGTTTTGAATGCTTTACATGTTCAAGTGCCACTTAGGAACTTTATGAGAAGCCATTGAATTTGTTTGTGCCCTGAACTTGTTTAAATACCAAGCTGAGTTTATTTGTAAAGTGGTTTCTAGTCACATCTACATTTTAAGCAGAATATCCTCATTTGTTTTATTTTCATTTTCACTGACACATTGCTGTACAGTATTTAAATGGGAAGACATATAGGGTTATCGATGCATATAATTTATGTGGAATTGAGATGAATATAGGCTTTAGGTTGATTTATTTATCACCTCATTCACAAAATCACTGAAGTAAGAAACTAGTGGTTAGGGATGAATTTAGCTAACCTTCAACTTGCTTTTCTGCCACACTTACCGTTGTTACTTTTCATGGTGCACCTCCCCATCCCAGCACTGGGGTATTGGTTGAAGCCGTATTTGATTGGCATACAGAAGTAAAAGAAAGTTTCCATGCCAAACCAAATCATTACTTATGATGTGACTTTTGTGTTTGGAGGGACAATGGTTCCTTGGAAGGTTGGGTGAGGATTTCATTGTTTTACTCTTGGTGACTTTACTCTTTGTGGATTAACCACTTTGAAGCTCGTGTGTGATCATGGAGCCACAAGAAGCATTGCAACTGACTTTATAATGTTATTAGTAGCCTCCAGGCAGGTTTATGTGCTTTCTGATCACACTTTTCTGTTCCATGAAGCAGTCCAGAAGAATTTCCAACCTTTTCTTGTTCCATCATGGCTTTCTTTATTGAGTGCCTTATATTTGGAATAAATACATTCATACTTTAATGATAATTAACTTTCTGCCTTATTTATTTTATTTGTCTCTTTTATGCTCTCTCTTTCAGATTATTAGCTTATTAAATGTTTTCACACCCCAGAAAACACTGGAGGAGTTCCAAGACGTGTAAGTAATAAATCAATGAATGTAATGAAGGAAGGTTGAGCTCAGCCCTCACTCGGGTAACTCCATGACAAAAATAATAGCAATAGAAGCAAAAAGGATGGAATTCCTTGTAAAGATCAAAGGGTCAGGACCCAGGAAATGAGGCAGGAGTATCTAGTGAAGATTCTGCTGTGGTGTGACCTCCTGAAGGACACTCCTGTCTCCTTCTAGCCCATATGATTTGTTGTCCCACACTTTTGGTAGATCAGGGAAGAAAGAATGCCTTATTGATTATTTGCTCATTAATGCAGTGAGATTTCCAGGATCAGTCAATTCATTTTGAGAAATATTAATAAAGGACGTGCTGCAATGTTCTTTGTTCTTTTTACCTGTCTTTGCAGTGCCTTTAATTTTGTGCAGAATGGATCTGCTTATAATGTTCGTGACAAACACAGACTGAGGGGTGGCTATTCCAGAGCACAGCTGCTGTGTCTTCCACACACGTAGCTGCAGCACACGTTAGAGGTGGCTGTCCAGATACCACTCCTCGTTTGTGACCGTAATGCTTAGAAGAGAGCTAAGGAAACCTAGGGGAAAGTATGATCAGTAAAGTTTATAGAACAGATGGGCCTGAACCACATACTAATTAGTGATGCTGCTATCTGCACATGGGCGAGTCACTGCAGCTGTCAGTCACGGTATACTTGGAAGTTTCCCATATTCTTGGCCCAAGCAATCACAGAGCTTGGAAGGTCAATCGATTTAGATGAAGTAGAGGATCTCAAGAGTGATAGAAGGTCATTCTAGACCTCTCTTCTGGGGCTAACATTGTGTATTTACCTTCTAGTTACTTAGTGATGGAGCTGATGGATGCCAACTTGTGTCAGGTGATCCAGATGGAGCTGGACCATGAGCGGATGTCTTATTTGCTATACCAGATGCTATGTGGCATCAAGCATCTCCACTCTGCTGGAATTATCCACAGGGTAAGGATACTTACTCTACAATTGCAGTGTGCTGTGTGCTGGAGGGCAGAAAGAACAGCTTTGCATTATTTTCTTAGGGAGAATTGGACAACTACTGTGCACTTGGTAATTTCATAGATGGGTAGCATTAGCACCTGGTTGACTGTTGTGTAGAAGGGACTTCTGTGTGTGCTCTGGTAGAATTCTAATTTATATTTTTGTTCACTGAGAGTCACCTCCTGAAGAGAACCTTGTATTTCCTAGTCCGATCAAAGCCGGATGAGTAGCTGCAATAAGACAGCTCATTTCCATACTTCCTTTCTGGAAATATAATGGCAGCTACCCTGATATGGTCCCCTGTTAGGCCTAGAAATCACACCCACCCTTAAAAGTTTATGTTGTCCTAAAAAGGAAACCTAAGAGATGACAAGAAATGACATGTCATTTCTCCCAAGACTTCTCCCCAGTGTGAGCCTAAATTGTAAAAATAACAGTACAGTTCTCAGTACAATTCTTTTCTGAACTTAAAATATTTATTAAGGGCAGTTTTAGAAATCTAAAACTGACTGTAACTTGTCACAGTAATCCTATGCTTTACACCATGTCCTAAAGAAGCTGTTGTGTTGCAGGGCTGCCCTGTGTAGAGTTAGAAAGAGACTGCAGCTCCTGTAGATAGCTACTTTAATTTCTTCCTCTGTTCCTATTGCCAGGACTTAAAACCCAGTAACATTGTAGTCAAATCTGATTGCACACTGAAAATTCTTGACTTTGGACTGGCCAGAACAGCGGGCACAAGCTTCATGATGACTCCGTATGTGGTGACGCGATATTACAGAGCCCCTGAGGTCATCCTGGGAATGGGCTACAAGGAGAACGGTAGGGATGATTCTGGAATAGTGAAGTAGCTGAGAGTCATGCTTGCTGAAATATAAATAAATTCTTTAGAAAAAGAGCTGCCAGGGTTCATATTCAGAGAGTTCTCCTAAATACCACTAGGGGGGGATCAGGCGAGAAGAACGTTTCATAGAAGCAAGCTTGGCTACAGTAACTCTAAAATCTGATAGCTAAAAAGAATTGCAAATAGAGTGTAATTACACAGTCAAGTGTCTGCTGATTGGCACATAGACCTCAGACAGAGAGAATCGCTGCTTACTGCAATGCAGTGTTGCCCAGATGCTTGTGGAAGTTATGGGAAAGATGCTTTAGTTAAACACTTTTGTGTGATATCTCAGATTAATGGCTGTGATCCTTGGGAAAGACTAACAAAGAGATTACAGAATCTTGGATCAAGTCAAGTTAGCATCATTCAAACTATAAGCTTCTTGTTCTTATGTCAAATCCTCTGTAATTAATATTTAGTGTGGCACTATCTAGTAAATCATAATAAATCCCTGGGACAGTATAGAGGAAAAAACATTAAACTTTACATTATTTCTTTGACAAGAAAATCTAATGTACATGAACATGTTGAAAGAAAGAAACGTTTAAAATTCAAATTGAATTTTGATTGATTAAAATGAGGGTGTATAAAGAACTTCTTAGAAAGTCTTATGATCTATCATTTTGTCTGTTATAAAGAGCCATGCTGAAAACCATATCGAATATACTTAGAATTTATATTAGTTTTAAGTTAGATTTGTAATATGTGCCCTGAATACCTGGTTTTATGTTTTATATGTGTAATTCCTAGCGATATATTTTCATACATTTTGTCAAAACTACTACTATTGCTGTCTTTATTGTAATTACTTCAGAGTACATTTATGAGCCATTGAAGTTAAAAATTATTTGCATACTTGAGTCTAGAGCACTGCTGTTACACTGATGTCTTGGTATGCAACAAAGGGACAGTCAGGACTGAGCAGACCAGGTTCACCTGGATGGCTACTGCCAGGGTTGTGTAGTGTTCTGATTTATGTTAATGGAACCCTCCTCCCAAGTGAAACCTGAGGAGGATTAATTAAAGAGAAGTCAAGAATTGAGGGCCAGAACTACCAATAATTTATTGTATATTTTAAGGGGACGATTTTGAATGTCCCAACCTAATGCACTGATAAATGTTTGAGGTTTTCAGTATGCTAATTACCCTGATTATACACTACACATAGTATGCATATAGCAAATATCCATAGGTATGATTACTAGAGATAAGGATGGACAGAGCCTGGAAATCTGAATTTACCTGGTCTGTGTTTGTAGATCTTTGTCACACAGACAGAAGGTATTTAATCCCTGTTCCTTTCTTTATTCAAAAGGGCTACAAAACAATGAAAAAGCATGGAGGTGTGTGCTGTACCCCTTGTGCCGTCTTCTCTCTCAGCTGAGGGTGGTTATCATGCAGAAAAACAGCTTGTCCTTGCTTTAGGCATGCCCCCCTGTGCACCTCACCCTGCCTTCCACCCCTCAGAGCAACTCTGCCTAATGTTTTTGTTTCAAAATCCCCTTGTCATTGATAAATGTGAAACTGAGAGAGAGGGAGGGAGTTAAAGTCAGTAGGAGACATGTTGGGAAATAAATACATGTACTTATGCTTTAATACCTTGTATGCAGTTTTGCTTCTCAACATCTCTGTGCATATACTGATTTGTCATTTTTCTCAAAATATTTCAGATAGAAATTAGTGCTGATGTTTATCTTAAGGAATAATTTCTGAGTGAAAAATCAACCCTGTAACACAGGAATTACCGTTTCTCAACACCACAAAGGTCACCAACCATTTCCTAGTCTTTTGGATTTGGTTGAATGAACTCTTATTTGGGACAAAGGGTGTTCTCTTGCTGCCCAGTGCACACAACTGAACAAAACAGGAAGTGAACACAGTCACCCTACATGGATGAACCTAGCAAATGCTATCTGAGACCTTTAGTTGACACCTGCCTGGAGTGCTCTCTTCCTGTCCATGCCATAACCAACCCAATGTCAATAAAGACACAGTTTGGGCATCCATGTAGTACTCTGTTTTACACATGTATTTGCTCTCAGTGCAGAGTCTGTATGATACCACAGTGTGGATTGTAACTCACATTCAGCCAGTTCAGGTGGAATGTGAGAGTACTATTTTCCTATCACCAAAGTCAGTTACCTAAGTTAACCTTGCTTTCCTCCTATGTCTTCACCGCCTCTCTCTTGTTCTAGTGGATATATGGTCTGTGGGATGCATCATGGGAGAAATGGTCCGCCACAAAATCCTCTTTCCCGGAAGGGACTGTATCCTTGTACCTTTGGCTTCACCTTTTTTTTTTTTTCTCTCTCTCTCCCTTTAAACTCGTAATGATTTTACCAGCAGAGTAAAGACAGATGCAGAAAGTTGGGTAAGTGGAGTACTTGTCACAGTGAAGCGATGATTCCTATACTCTCACCAGCTCTGTAGACTGCCTACCACAATGACTTCTTCTAATTTTCCAGTAAGCTTTTTCTTCTTAAATCATTTTCTTTCTTATAAGCCAAAATAGGAGTGCCATTATTTCAGAAGTAATGGAGACCACCAGACTCTAAATGAGAAACAAACAGAACAACAAAAACCTAATTAGTAAAAGAAGTCACAATTTGCAAGTCATTTCCCATCCTCTTTCTAAAGCTATTTATGATCCACATTCAAGTGTGATTTCCCTACTTACTCTGATATTGTAAGTTTTAGTCTATGGGTCTATATATAGGCAGGTTTAAATAGGTCACTGTAGCATGCATAGCCCCTGTAAACTGTAAACGTCCACCCTTGGGTCATAATTATTATTCAAACTAATGGAGAGCAGGTGACTTTAATAGGACTTCATTCACTTACATTTGAGATGCTGAGCTATGGAATATAAATAGGTAATTGTCAGCTCAGTGGGTGAAGCTTTTACTGCACAAGTGTGAGAACCTGAGTTCAAATCCCCAGCACATGTGCAAAAGCCAAGTGCAGAATTGCACACCTGTGAATGCAGTGGTGGGCGGACCTCACTGTCAGTCAGCCTAGCTAATCAGAGAGCTGCAGGTCTAGTTAAAGACCCTGCGTCAAAATCTAAAGAGGCCTGTGACTGAGGGCAACACCTGACAATGACCTCTGACCTCCAACTGCCCCTGCACACATGAATGTTAGATCATTGCTTTTCCAGCTAAGTCTCTTAGAGGGCTGTATATGCATGAGAATTATGAAAGCAGACGAATTTCATCAGTGACCAGAAGTTCACTCCCTGGCAAAAGTATACATTTGAGTTCATGCTGCACACATCAACTGGAGAATATACCTGATGAATGCAGGATATCTTGCTAATGAATGTTAGTGCAAGTTATGGTCAACACTACAACTTCAATGATGGTACAGTGTTAGATCAGAATAATGATTAGATAATGAGTTTTCAAAGTTTGATAACCAGAAATATGGCAGATAATCTATTAGTCATTTTATCTGAGAGAGGTCTATTAAGTAATCCTTTTATTATGTAAGGGATATTATAATTTATTCCAACATATGAAAGATTACATTTCAAAAACTATGACTCAATAAGAAGCTAAAAGCAAATGGGCATCTATGCATTCTTCTGGACATTAGTATGGCATTTTCAGAGTCCCAGCCTTAAGGCAAAGTGCTGAGGTCTTCTAGTCCTTCAGTGACAAAGACCCTGGAGCCATATGTTGCTTCTCAGCACTTGAAATTATAGATCGAATTACAAGTGCTGAATGGATACAATGCTTACACTACCTAAAGATACAGAAAACTTGCAGAATGAACCAGTCATGACCTCATGTTGACCTCATATTAAGTGACAGTAATTCGAATGGATTGAGGTGAAACATATATTGATAAAAATTGATCTTACCTTTTCCTTCCTATTTTTTATTGTTAATATCAGCACATTTAAAATTGTATGCACAATTTGCATGTGGGGCTATTGTCTTCTTTATTGGATAGTGCTGGCCTAGAGATTGAGGCAACCCCATGACATCCTTCTATCTACAATCCATTTTACATGAGCATCACCCTCATATGCCTGTGTCCACAGGTATATTTCACATGTGACCACTTGAGAATTTTTCTTTACATCAGCTTAATTATTTGTAGTTTGGAGATCAATTATATAACCTGAACAGAGTGATGACCCATGTTCACATGGCAGTGCACTGATCTTATTCACAAGCAGGGATTATCTTTGCGCTTCTGCCTTTGGGGCATTAAAAAACAGACAGGTACTATCACTGCTCAGAGTGAAGCTGCAGTCTCTGGGGGTCGCCTGCTAGTGGAGACAAACAGGCCAGGATTTCTCATCAGCATGGAACATGGCTGTCCTAGGTCACCTTTTCCTCAGAGTAAGGCCATCCTGTGAGCTGTTATTTAGCTCTTCACTTACTTCTCAGAGTTGCTCTCCTGTTTTGACAGTTGAAACTCAACAGATAATCACAATTGCAACAATCTGAAACTTTTAAAAGCTAAATTGACCCTTCAGCAAATCAGAGATGATCACATCACTGATGATACTCTATTGCCCTCTCCCAAATATTCTTTTGGAACCTTCCTTTTATTGTTGTTTTAGAAAAAAAAATGGACCTGAAATGAAGCTACAAAAGTCAGTATATAAAATCTGCATCCTGATACATGTGATCATAGAGTTTAGTCTCTAGCATAGAGAGTGTAGACCATAGAGAGGTTTTGTGTGCTGTGTGCCTTTGTCTAGAGTGGTCACTACAGAGAACACAGGGCTGTGACAGCCAAGCTGACTGCCCCATGAGATACAAGCCTATGATACTGTCACTTTCTGATTTCCTACTGTCCTTTCAGCAAGACCAGGCTGTTGAGGCTGCTCACTATGGAGCAGGCACCGGGGGTGATGGTTTCCCCAGACAAGAGCTGTGACAATACATTAGTATAACTGAAATAGCCTAGGACTTGCTGGAAATAATATCATTGAGACCCTGACTAGTTCAAGATCCGGGGGCTCTCCTACTTGGAAATATTAAAATGTGTATAAATTAATATTAATAAGCATATCAAATTATTCAGACTGGAAAATGATGTGATAGTCTGTATCCAACATTATTCCTCACCTCTTACAGAACTTTCAATTCTGAGTATAAAACAAAAACATTAAAATTCCTCTGCAAATCAGAAAAATCTTGTAAAATATTCACCAATGACTGATTTTTTCCCCCACTTTAATCTATTTTTACATTTTGAGAAACACCATGGACTTTTCCTGGTATTTGATATTATGCAATCACAGGATACTTTACTTACTTCTGAATTAGAATGTTAGCAAAGATATGCAACTTTAAACATAAAAACATAGAGTTCCAGGGAGATGGCTTAGTCAGTAATGTAAGTACAAAATCATGAGTTCAGTTGTGAGAACACACCTAAAAAGACCAGACATTGCATTATGTTTCTGTGATACTGGCACTGGGGAGACACATTCAGGCAGATCCCTGGGGCTCATTGGCCAGCCAGTTTAGCTTACTTAGCAAACTCCTAGCTCAAAAAATGGTGGGATAGGCTGAGGAATGGTGCCTGAGATTGTTCTATAATTCCAGGTACATGCTCATACACAGACATGTGCACCTGCTCACCCATGTACACACGAACATGCACACAGAATGTATACATAAATAATTGTGTTTGTTTTCCATTCATTAATTTGTTAATCATTTTAATATTTAAATGTTTCTAACTCATTCTTTGTATTGTGCATTAACCCATTCAACTATCACTATAGTTTTATGATGAAAACAGGTTCACTCATGTATATATATATATACATATATATATATATATATATATAGTAAAAAACAAAAACAGTATACAAAAAATGTATATATATACATATATATATATACATACATACATACATACATACATACATACACACTGTTTACAGAGTACAGAGAACTAGGCCACCTACCTTTCATGTGATTTTGTTACTTCCAGCAAGTTTATAGAGTAGCAACTTCAAGTCGTTAAGTTAGAAGTTTTCCCAAACCCTGTGCAGTCCTGCCTCTGTCCACTCACCTCAAGGCCCAACCTGGCTGCACTGTCCCTTGGGTCCCACAGATTCCCACAGCACCCCTGTACTGTCCTCTGGAGTCCACAGATTCCTACAGCATCCCTGCAATGTCCTCTGGATCCCAGAGACTCCCATGGCACCCAGGCCTTTTCATGAATCTTCCTTAAGCCTGTTTGGTTCTTTGTCTGTTTGTTTTGTTTTTTGAAAATATTTTTTAGACAATATATTATGATCACCTTTTTCCTCCCATATCTCCATGTCTCCTCCAAATTCGTCCCCACCCCCTTCATCCAACTTCATGCTTTCTTTCTCTCTCTTTAGAAAACAAACAGGCAAAACCAAGCAACCAAACAAACAAACAAACAAACAAATAAACAAAACAATACCATGACAACAAGAAGGATTAAAAACCCTGAAACAGTGGAAGAATTAAAAGAATAAGAGCATGAGAAACACACACACACACACACACACACACACACACACACACACACACGCACACACACCGGGGGAAGGGGGAAACAAAGCCTATTAAATCACAAAATCATAAATCATAAAATACTAGCAAAAGACCAGTAAGATAAAAAGTACCCAATCAAATTGACATGAGACATACAAATCTTCAAAAACATGACCTCGCTTATTTTCATGTTGGCATCTTCTGCTGGGTGTGTGCCCCACCCTTAAGTATGGTTTGTGTCCCCAGTAAGACTCAACTGGAGAAAACGGATTTTTCCTTAGTGAGCAGTTGTCACTTGGAGATAGTGTCTTTGTTAGAGATGGGAGCCTGTGTCCACTCCCCTCTTGCCACAGTCTCTGTAAGTTCACGTGTGCCTCAGTCCTGCTATGAACCCTGCTTATTTTAGATACACTGTGTTTTTGGTTTTTGTTTTTTACTGTATTTTTATATTTTTTTTTCTATTTCAAATGGAAGGATCCTCTTTGAACAAGGAGCCTACAGTGGTCCTTTTTCTATAGTTCTCGAGCAAAGTTTTCTGGACTTGGCTTCTGTCGGACCTTAGTATACAGTATCTATTTAAAAATTCTAGATATCAAGTGAATTGTTTCCAACTAAAGCAGACAGTAAGGAAGAGTAAGCACCTGTCTTGCCTTTCTTCCTTTAATCACAAGAAACATTAGGCACAAGAAACCAACAGGCACAAGACCTTCCTAGAGAGGGATGGTATTAAGGGACATGAAAATGACTTCCTGCATAATTAGATCAGCAAA